AGTGGCATTGTGTTGATGTCTCTCTGCTGCTGCCCCAAGCAGGGCTGGGGAGGATTTCATTTCTGCAAAGAAGAAGATAGGGAGGATGGTAATGCAGCAAAAGGTGGAGAATTTTCCTTTGCGTGGAGTGGCTAGAGTAGGTACAAGCAGACACACAAGCACAGGCATACACAGAATCAACTCAGGATTTCAAGAAGCTGTGGCTGGGTACCATGAGTCCTCTTGCTTTCATTTCCACGGCTAATGTACATTTCTCACTAGAGACTGTTTTGCAGCAAGCACATAACCTCACGACAAATACACTGACTTTTTTATCCAAAGGAATTTACCAACATAATTTTGCTTTTGCTCAAGGCACAATTGCCTGTCCTATTCCTCCCGGGTGCTTGACCTATCGAGGTCAGAGTGTTGAGACCCACTTCTAAGAGAAAACATGGGATCCTGTAATGCACTTGTGAATGGTCAGAACTATAGTGGCAAGTAGGGCAATGCTCCCAGGTGTTCTAAGCTCCAAAGCCTACTTTAGCTTCTAGAATATAGCACCATCCACAGGTGAGCAAGTCTTGCTCACAGAGATACCCTTCCAGCCAGTAGTGCTAAGGATTTGTAGATTGAGAAGTCTCACCAGTGTTTTTTGGAAAGAGGAAAGGCAGTGGGGAGCTTGTGACCATGAGGGGAAATAGGAATGGGGAGTTTGTGTGGGAGTTTAGCAGTGCAGGAGTACATGGAACTCCCATCTCCAGAATCTAAGGATCTTAGGTGAGTTTAGCAACTGGGTGAAGAAAACCAGGGTTCAAATCTTTATAAAAGTATAACAGTATAACACAGGGACTGTCCTAAATAAGAACCAAACCAGACTGACCAACAGCAACCAGAATGAAGGTTAAAAGCCAGCAGGAGAGGTGCTTTCCAACTTATTGCACAGAAGGTCAGCTATCTGCAGGTTGGGCATAGGTTGTGGGTTTGCGCTCAATATAATGAGCTCCTGATTATTGGGGAACAAGCTTGTGTTTTTGGAACCAAGATGGCTGAGGTAAAGTTGCCTAGAGAAGCAGAGAGAAATGAACGTGTAATAGATGCATCCCGCTCCCAGGATGATAAACCCTGCTGTCAGGGAGAACAAGAGCCTTGGAAAAAAGAGGACATCAGTTTGACAGTAAAGGAAGTATTCCTAGAAGGGACCTTATCCTGGGATTATGAACTCACATCCTCTTGAACCAAGGACACTCTTGAGAGCAAAAAGCTTTTGACTGTGAGCAAGTTGATCATTAACAACACAGAGAGATGGGTTTGTGCTGGGCATGGAGATTGCATGGTATCTTGTCCACCTAATGTGAAGAAGAAAGAGGCAGTAATTGTGGTCCACATTGGTACTAATGACATTGGTAAATATAATTGGCTAGCCCCTGAAGCCAGGGAGCAAACTGAAGTCCAGGGATGCTAAGGAAGTTTCTCAGAAATGCCATCTATTCTACCCAGAGGGGCAACTAGACAGGAAGGGCTTGTGGTTCTTAATGCATGGATGTGAGAGTGGTGCCAGGAGGGGAGATTCAGATTGATTGGGCACTGGGGAACTTTCTAGATCAAGCCAAACCTGTACAAAAAAGACTGGCTCTGTTTGAACTGAAATGGAACCAGATTGCTGATGCATAACATCACAAAGGTGTCAGGAAATCTTGCAGATTTTGGCCCTTCTCCTT